ATTTTATGTGCATTAGCGTGAGGGGGTCAGATGCTGTGGAACTGGCATTACAGACAGTTGTGAGCTGCCATGTGGGTGCTGGGAATTGAACCTGGATCCTTTGGAAGAGCAGGCAGTGCTCTTAACCGCTGGGCCATCTCTCCAGCCCGAGCCCCACATTTTATTTACTTTTAAATACATTAAATTTAAATAGCCATATCTATTGCATGGACAACTTCGGAAGATAATGTTTTTTGTTTTTGTTTTTGTTTTTGTTTTTTTTTTTTGTTTTGTTTTTGTCTTTTTCCCCTTGGCCACAGTGTCATCTTTCAGTGTCTTTTGGACCAAGAATGCTGTATTGGAAGTTAGGCTGGAGCCCATCCATACCTCCTTTCAAAAAAATGTAAAAATACATTTATTTGTGTCTCTTTTCAGCCTAATGAGGATGGGGGCAGCAGAACTGTTTTCTTTTTTTTCCTTTCTTCTTTTTCTCCTCCTCCTCCTCCTCCTCTAGGGACTTTCACATATAGGATCTCAATTAGTATTTGTGCTAAGTATGGCTGAAACAGGCAATGTTGGTCTTTGGGCCTAGGTGTGATTTTGAAGTAGTTTAATTGTTAGAATGTTACAAGATCCATTATCTTCCCTCTGTTCATAATAAGGGGAATGCTGGAAAGGACCTGATACTGGCTACAGGGAGTGTATTTAACTAACTGAGGCTTAACATACAACATTATGCAGAAAAGTGAAAAGAAGAGTACACAGGGCTGGAGAGATGGCTCAGTGGTTAAGAGCGCTTAGGTCTTCCAGAGGACCCGGGTTCAATTTCCAGCACCCACATGGCAGCTCACACCTGTCTGTAACTCCAGTTCTAGGGGATCTGACACCCTCACACAGACATACACACAGGCAAAACACCAATGCACATAAAATAAAAATACATAAATCATTAAAAAAATATTTTTTTTTAAAGAAGAGTACTCTAACAGAGGATGTATTCATCCAGGTGTATATGCCCCTTATCCCAGTACTTGAAGACAAAAAAGAAGGAAGATCTCTGCAAGTTCAGGCCAGCTAGAGTTACATAGTGAAACCCCATATTAAATAACAACAAAAAAAGCTGTATATTAAATGAAAAACATCAATGCAGACAGAGTATAATAATCTTCCTTTCTTCTTCCTCTTCTTCTTCTTCTTCTTCTTTTTTTTTTTTTTTTTTTTTTTTTCCACGACAGGGTTTTTCTGTATACCCCTGGCTGTCCTGGAGCTTGCTCTGTAGATCTATCTCCCAGATGCTGGGATTAAAGGTGTGTGCTACCACTGCCCAGCTGTTTATATCTTTAAGTTTAAAGCAGACAAAAGTTTAAAGCAGGGGCTAAAGGCATGGTCAGTGGTTAAGAGCAGGTGCTGCTCTTGCAGAGGACCTGAGTTTGGTTTCTAGTAACTATAGCAGGTGGATCACAGTTGCTTGTAACTCCATCTCCAAGGGTTCTGACACTTCTGGTCTCTATGGGCAATTCCACTCATGTGCACATGAGTCTTATATACATACACACACTTAATTTATAAAATATATATGTATGTAAATAGTTAAAAATTTTAAGGCAATGTAGAAAGAGTCCTCTGCTCTCACATTCAGTTTTATTTTCTGATTGGTGTTTAATGCTTTCTGATGTTTTTTTCTATGAAATTCTAACCTTCTTATTATAAATACATTAGTTGTTTGTAACTTTCTTTTTCCTTCTTTCCCCAAAAAACATAAAACCTGGGAGGCAGAGGCAGGTGAATCTCTTGAGTTCCAGGCCAGCCTGGTCTACAGGGTGAGTTCCAGGACTGCCAGGGTCACACAGAGAAACCCTGTCTTGAAAAACAAAACAAACCATCAACCAAACCACAAACTCAAAACATAAAACCAAACCAATGCCACCAAGAACTCAGCTCTCATGTAGCTGGCTTCAGTCTCTTGATCTTGCTAGATGCCTGAGAATGACATTGAAGTCCTGACCTTCCCGCCTCCACCTGTCATTTGCTAGAATTACAGGCTTGATTCATGCAGTTCTGGGGCTGGAACCCAGGGCTTTAGGCATGTCAGGCAAGCAGCTAGGAGGGCACTCTCTAGCTGAGGCATGCCTCAGCCCTAAGACAGAGTTTCACATAGCTCAGGCTGGCCGACAACACTCTCCATGCAGCAGAGTCTAGCTTTGACGTTCTGATCCTTTCTTGTTGGCTATTCAAGTGTTAGTTTCACATCACCATATCTGGCTACAACTTTCATCTTTCTCTGGGCATGCAATGGAAGGCATGACAGAATTTTCTCTGTAAGCAGTGGTAGATGGAGTAAAGTCAGGGACAGAGAATATGATGGCCACTTACATGTGAACTTTTATGCTCTCCTTACTTTGTATCATGTTTGGTTTTCAATGTTTTCCTGTAAACATTAAAAAAAATTTTTTTTTTTGCTATGCATATATGAATATTAGCATGCACTCCTGTAGAAGTAGTTAGAAGATAGTCTGTGGGATTCTTTCCTTACACCATGTGAATTCTGGGATTTATTATTATTTTTTTTGAGACAGGGTTTCTCTGTGTAGCCTTGGCTGTCCTGGACTTGCTTTGTAGACCAGGCTGACATCAAACTCAGAGAGTTCCACCTGCCTCTGTCTTCCTGAGTGCTGGGATTATAAGTGTGTACCACCACACCTGGGTTATGGAATTTTGTTTAAAAATATATTTATTTTTATTTTATGTATATTGGTGTTTGACTGCATGTATATCTAGTGAAGGTGTCAGATCCCCTGAAACAGGAGTTACAGACAGTTGTGAGCTGTCATGTGGGTGCTGGGAATTGAACCAGGGTCCTCTGGAAGAAATGTCAGTGCTCTTAACTGCTGAGCTATCTCTCTCCAGCCCAGGGTTTTGGGATTTTTTAACACAGATTTGTCAGGCTGGGCAGCAGACACCTTTACCTGCTGAGCCATCTAAGCTACCTTCATTTGCCCGTTCTTGTCATGAGTGTTTAGTTATAATCCCAATAAAAATAAAATAGGAGATAATATTGAATCCTTAATGCCATGTACTTTTTCTACCTAAAAAATACATTTTAAAAAGTAATACAATTTTTTAAGTGTTGGATTTCTAAGGGCCAAATACCTTAAATGTAGTCTCACTGACTCTTTGTAATAGCACTCTGAGGTATGCAAAATTATGTGTGGCTTGACAGATGAGGGCACTAAGACCTGGATCTGCCAAGGTCACACAGCCAGAGCGCAGCGAGCCTGGACGCTACACTGCAGCATCTCGTCTCCCTTGGCAGACTTCCTTTCACACTGCAAAACCCAGCTTTAATGATCTCATCCCCTGTGCGTGCGGTTTTTCCTAACTTAGGTAGAGGGATGAACCTTTCCTCAAGGTGCTTACAGTCCAGGGAAGAGACTGAGCTAAATTACAGCTCAGTGACCTAACAATGCATTGTTGACCCGGGTGATGTGCAAGCAGGGAGAGTCTAGACGTGTGTCTGAGGGCAGCCAAGGAGCTCCAGACAGAGCATCTTTTCAGCTGATAGAACAACCAGGTTTCCAGAAGGCTAAAAGAAGGTGCCAATCAGACGTAGTGATCCGGGGCCTAACACGGACTTCAGGAAGTACAGAAGTGTTACAGACCTAGGCATACTTTGGAAAGGACAGTTTTGTTGTTACCTAAGAGCCAAGTGGGCCTGAAGGAGGGGCAAAGGGAAGTGTGTATGCTGTTAAAGCTTTTGAACCGTAAGTATTAACATATTATTCTGTGAATTAAGCATAGAGGTTGTATTTTTTGGTGGTGCTGCGGATGCCGGCCTGGACCCTGTCCATGCCGGGCGAGTATCATTGAGTGTCCTTCCCAATCCAGAGCTGTTAATATTTGAGTCTAGTGCTGTAGCAGGATGAGAAGGGGATTGCCAAGGGAACTGGTGCGGGAGGTCTCTCCTCCACTGTCTTCTCAAATTAAGTGGTCAGGCTCATTGCTAGGAATTTGCTTTAGGCTAAGGACCTTGGTTCATACTCCAGTGCATTCTAGCCTCCCTGCATGGTGCAGGGCATTCACAGTAGGGGCTGAACTGCCTGGCAGAATGCTAGGCACCAAGAAGACGCCCGCCAATAGCTGTAAAAGAAAACGTGAACCTTTATTTCTTTCCCAGTGCCACTGCCGGAACAAAGCAGGCAGTTATTTAGCCAGTCTGCCTCAACCGTCGGATTTCTTTGGCAATTAAGGGTGGGGTAAGAAGAGGCGATTTTGATTTCTGTTCAGTGCTTGTTAAGTGCCAGGAAAATTCACATCTATTGTTTTTATGCCACCTGCTCAACGGCTCTTAAATCGGAATTATTGTTTTAGTTTCTGTGAAGTGAAAACTGAGGCTCGGGCGGTTCTGTAACTTGGCCAAGGTCATACAACCGGCAAGTGGGAGGGGAGCACGGGAGGGATCCGAGTGTCTTACTCAGCTAGGGTACTGCCTGCCCCTCCTCCACCCGGGAGGCACTGCGGCGCTTACTCCGTTAGCGTAGAGGCTGGGGTTGGGGGAGAAGCTCGCACCAGGGCTCGGAGACTGGGGAGGACGGCTCCCGCGGCAGCCGGGAGCCGCTCTCAGAACCCGCAGATACGAAGTTTCCGCGCCTCTAGCTCTTTCCAGCGGCTGGCCTCCGCTCAGCAGCGCTTACGCCGCGGGCGCAGCGGGGCTCAGGTGCGGTCGCGGCCCGGACTAGGCGCAGCGAGGTGGGCGGGACGCAGTTTACGTAAGCGGCCTCGCAGGTGCAGGCGACGGCCGCAGGCCTGAGAGCCCTGCGCGCTCCCAGGTGCGCAGTTGACGCAGGCGGCTACGCGGCGCGGCAGCGGCGGGCGCTGGCCGGAGCTCTCAGGTGCGGCAGAGCGCGCGTGCAGGGGGCGCGCGGAGGGCGAGGGGGCGGGCTTTCCGTTCCCCAGCAGCCGCGCGGCCCCGCCCCCCGGCTCGGCCAATGGGCGTGCTCGGCGGCGTCACGTGTCCGCCGCCGCCGCCGCGGTCGCCGCCGAAGCCGAGCTCGGATCCGCGAGCGCCACCAGGGCAGCAGCCGCCGCAGCCGCCGCCGCTGTGCTGAGGAGCCGGAGACGCGGGCGGACGAGGTGGCGGCGGCGGCGGAGCGGGAGCGGGGAGCGGACGCGGGCGGAGCGCGGCGGCGCGGGTAGGCTGCGGCGGGGCCGGCGCCTGCGCGGCGGGCCGTCCCGGGCGGGCGGCGGTTGAGGCGGCGGTTGAGGCGGTTGGCGGAGCCTGCTCGGGCCCCGCATTGTTTGTTGTGCGTCCTTAGCAGCGGCGGCGGCTGCCGAGGCGAGGAGCGCGGCGCGATCCCGGCCCCGCGCCTCGGGCATTGTTGGACGCTGCCGCGGTGCCTGGCTGGTCCGCTCCAGGACCGCGGGCCGCCTTGCTTGCTTTCGGGGTCGGGGTCGCGGTCCCGGGTCCCGGCCCTGAGCCTCCCGAGGGCGTGGGCAGCGTGCGGGGCGCGAGCTCCGGGGAGGTGGGAGGGCTTCGGGCTCGGGGGCAGGTGCTGGAGGACGTTGCGGGCAGGAGCCGGGGAGAATGCTCGGGGGGCGGGCACAGGGTGTGGGCAGACTGGGGAGAAGGGAGAGTTAAGGGACCCGGCCCCACGGTGACCGGGCCCTCAAGGGCAGGCCTGGGGGAACCCATGGGGGCCTAGGTCGGGTTCGAGAAGGGAGGACGTTCCGTTTGGGGCGTTCGGACGGGTGTGTAGGGGGCTTTGGGGCGGGCAGGGCCAAGTGAGGGAGAGAGAAGATGGGCACCTCTAGGCAGAAATGGAAGGAGCAGATGCCCCGGTTAGCGCTGCGTGTGAGGGGCAGGGAATGGGGCAGGCAGTGGGAAGGCCACCGGACGACTGAAGGGAAATGGCGGAGGAGGGGTCTGTAGCTGGGAGTGTGGTGGGCAGGCTGAGCCCCGAAAGAGGGAGGGAAGGAGTGTCTGGAGATGGGGTGCTCTCAAATGGTGGCAGTTGAAATTGAGGGTGTTCAGGCAGGAGTTGTCTGTGTGTGCCCAGGACGGCAGGAGTCCCCTGATAGGTGTCTGGCCCGGAGGTGTGGAGGGAGACAGGAAGAGGTTGACAGGCTAGAAGAGAAAGGCTGGTGTTTGCCCTGTATTCAGGGGAGATGAGGATGGGAGGAGGAGTGATTGACACAGGAACTGAGTTTGAGGGGTTTCGGAGAGAAATGGGGACAAGGGGTTAGGTGATTGGGTGGAGGAGGTGTCGATGCAGGAGATGTGTATAGCAGTAAAAGGGCAGCAGGAGTGAGTGAAATGGTGTTTGTGTGAGAAATACTAGTGGGCAACAACAGAAGAGGAAACCTTGAGGTTTGGGAGCACCCTGGAAAGGGAAGGGCTGTTTGGCAGGATGGAGAGTGAGATGGTGGGCAGAAGGGAGGGAGAGGGAAAATGTTTATGGGAGTGGTAGGTGAGGTGTAGGGAAATATGGAAGGAAATATTCCCAAGTCAGGAGGTGTGGAGAGAAGTTGGGAAGGAGGAGGGAGATGGAAGGAGGGTGTGTTTAAAGGGAAATCAGTAGAAGGTGGGATAGGTTGGGAGGGAAGAAATTTGGGACAGATCTGGAGTCCCATGCAGATAGCAGAAGAAGTGAAGGGAGTAGGCAGGGGACAGTAAGAAGAAACAGGGAAGAAAGGCTATTTTATAGAGAATGTAGAAGAATGTATAGCAGCTATTCTGAAGGAAAGGACATAAGGATGTGTGGATGCATGTGACTAGAAAGGGACAGTTGTATGGGGTAGGTATGGTGAGGGAAGTTGGATGCTCATGTTTAAAGCAGGAAATAATTGGACAGGGTTCAGAAGTAGGTTGCCTAAGAGTTTGGAAGATTCAAGGTGTGGAAGTGTGAAGAAAGATTGGAGTATTTACGGTTTTAAGACATTAAAGGGTCCAAAATTATCAGGTCACTGAGAGATAATAAAGGGTAGAGTACAGGAGTCTAATGGGAGAAAAAAAAACAAAACAAAACTAGAGAGGATTATTAGAGGAACTAGAAATTTGGGGCAGTGGATAAAGAATGTGGGTACTAGACTGATTTTACCAGAAAATAGAGGACATTCAGTTGTGTACTGTATCTTAAAGTTCATTCTTCTAGGATCAAAGAGATGATAAAATCTGACTTAGTTCCACAACAAGTGGATGGGAAGGAGTACCGGAGAGCTAAATGCTCTCCTGCTGTCAGGTTGGGAGGTGTATGGTGTGTATTCACTTAGCTTTGTTGGCTGATAAGTAGACAGCTCTACGACATCATAAGGAATGTACTCAAAAGGTAAAGGAAATGGAATTGCAGTAGGTGCATAGCAGGTGTCTTTGTGAAGCTGGAAGAGAGCAGATCCCAGGGGCCAGTAGCATCAAGAGCTCTGAGAGAGCAGAAGAGATATGTTGGTGTGCAGTGTCTCAGGTACCCTGAAGCTTCCTGGGTAATGGGACAGTATTCATTCAGGCAGTGGATGACGTAATACCTGAGTCCTGTGCTACAGGACAAAATAATGTAAGCTTCTAAAAGTGGCAAAAATGGAGTCTTTGGATTTTAACCTTTAAAATGTTAATAACTGACACCGATTGTCAGGTCCCCCCCCCCCCCCCAGTAATTCCAATAAACTTTAGTTGGAGGCTCTTAGATTCTTTGGTGTTTTGGTGTTTTGCTTTGATGTTGTATGTGATGTTAGCTTGAAATGAGGAAAGCTACCTCTGGATTGGGTGGATGTAAGGCCATCAGCTTGACAGACACTTTAGGAGTTTGAGCACAGACATTTTAGTGTCTTATTTTCTTTAGTGTTCTGTAGCTTGTGTAGAATTTTTTTTTTCTTTGTGTGTATGTGTGTGTGAGAAAGAGAGGAGGAGAGGGGAGAGAGAGAGATTTGGAGGATTTAAACAAACTGCCTTGAGATTCTTTTATAGTAAGCTGTTTTCCCTAGAATCCTGGAAAGTGAATTCTCTTTTGAATTTCTCTCTTTGAAATTTGTCTTGTCAGATTTTACTAAAAAGTAAATTTTATCTTGAATTGCTACTCAGTGAACTTTATATCGTATGTAATATGTACTAATGTGCTTTCAAAGAAAAGGTCTGCTTTGGATACTTTCTGGGTTGATCACTTTTTTCAGTTGGGAAGTATCTTCATGTAGGCATTGTACTTTCAAATAATAAATTTAGATGGGAGTGAGAATCTTGTCTAAACATAACAAAGGAGGAACAAAACACCAACTTTTAAGTTGCTTAAGTCTAACTGTAAATGTTTAAAAATAAAAAGTCAGTGATTTTTAAATTTTTTAACCATTATCCATCCATTGATCTATCCATCCATCCATCCATCTAAATATCTATATGTATTAATTTTTGGTTTTCCGAGACAGGGTTATATCCCTTTCTGTCCTGGACTTAGATTTGTAGACCAGGCTGGCCTTGAACTCACAGAGATCCGCCTGCCTCTGCCTACCAAGTGCTGGGATTAAACACATGTGCTACCACACTGAGCTAAGTTAATGAGCCTATTTATTTATTTATTTATTTATTTATTATTTATTTATTTATTTATTTATTTATTTCAAGGCAGGGTTTCTCTGTGTAGCCTTGGCTGTCTTGGACTCACTTTGTAGACCCAGCTGGTCTCGAACTCAGAGATCCACCTGCCATTGCCTCCCGGAGTGCTGGGATTACAGGGGTGCACCACTGTGGCCAGCTAAGTTAATGATTTTTTTTAACACAGGGAGTAATGTTCAGAAAGCATTGTTACAAAATTTTGTTTTTGGAGGGAAATGTATTTTAGTATGTCTTTGATCGAAACTCTTGGGAGTTTGTTGAGATTTGATCTGTACAGTATATAGGTATAGTGAGTATATCTGCCCTTCCATTGCTCCTTGGAAGGGAATGTGAACAGTAGGATATGAGATGACTAGAGTAACCTTTGAAAATTGTAATGTGGTCACTGCTTCTTTCTTTAGTTTCCTCTTCTTTTTTAGAGATAGTGACTCATTGTGTTTGTAGCCCAGGATGGCCTAGAAATCTCTGTGTCACCCATGCTGGCCTCACACACAAGAAACACCCTCCTGCCTTCTGGGTTACAGATATGATCCAGCATACCTGACACCTTATGAGTAAGTTTTGAAATCCCTCCTGTTCATTTTACTGTTTTTTTTTTTTTTTTTTGGATAAATAATATTTCCTTGCTCAAAATACTCAATTCTGAACTAGTATTTTGATGAAACATATTGTTGGATGAAATTCTACATTTTGTGATAATTTGTAGGTATTTTAAAGAAAGGTAGGTTATTTAGACTTTGCAGTCTAATTGAATTCTGGTTTTATGTTCACTGATGGCTTGCTGGACAAGATACTTAATCCCTTTGTACTTGTTTCTCTTCCAGAAACCTGACTCCTTATCTACCTCCCAAGAGTATTGAGGTGTTTATAGAAAACAAGTTTGTCTTTTTTCTTTTTCTTTTTTTTTTTTAAAGACTCAGTCTTTAGTCCTGCCTTTCCTGGAACCTAATATGTTGACCTAGCTGGCCTCCATCTCACAGAGATCCTTCTGCCTTTGCCTCTTGAGTGCTGGGGTATATCAGGCATGTGTCATAAGTTTAAGTCTTTTGGAAGACCGGACTTTTGTTAATACGGAGATAGGTTCTTACTTTTCCTTTCTGCTTACCTTTCCCTTTCCCTTTTCCTCTCCTCTCCTCTCCTCTCCTCTCCTCTCCTCTCCTCTCCCCTTCCCCTTCCCCTTCCCCTTCCCCTTCCTTCTTTCCTTCCTTTATTTCTTTTTTGAGACAGCGTTTCTCTGTGTAGTGCTGGCTGTCCTGGAACCAAGTGCTGGGATTAAAGGCATGTGCTACCACCGACTGGCTCCATT